TGATTTCCCTATATAAACTATAGTAAAGTTTACCACCTCCCCAGGGGAAAACGTGAGACCCCAGGGTCAAGAAATTCACAATTTTAGTAAAGCACCTTAAGACCCTTCTATCTATGAAGAGTATTTGATTCTACCATATCTGGATCTTGAGGAGAAGATTTTTGAAATTTTAGTCAATTTTACCCTTTTTGGCCCCGCCCCTCAGGCCCCTGGGGGCTGGGGACCATATAATTCACAATTTTAGTTGACCTTTGGCCATAGTGGTTTCTTGAGACTTTGTCTCAGGTGACCTAAAAAACTTAAAAGCATTGAAAAATATGTATTTTGAAATGAAATTGATGATGTTGGCATTGTCCATTATGCTGCATATTCAGAAATGCAGCGATGGATCAGCATTCAACTGAAGACGTAACATAACATTTTATTTGTAACGATGGCCCACACTTTCGCCAAACGTTTTAGTCATATCCAGCTCAGGAACGTTTTAATCTAAAATGGCTCCACACTTTCGAATAAGTAGCCCCAGGATGATCATAGAGTTTAGTCTCCGGAATGTCCTGGCTTGCCATATTATATGTCAAGCACTAAGCCATGCGGCAATTCTATTGAAACGCAAGTTCCGATTGGTTATTGGGTGAACCAGCTAGCCAGTCAGCGTTGTTGTGTTGGACGTTCGGTCCAGTTGTTTAACCCAAGAATGAACACCTCGCCGACAAAACAACTCGCTGTCGGCGAGTAGTGGTAGCAGTTTATTTTGTGTTAACGCTAAAACTAGTCAAACATTAATCGATCATGGGAAACGATGATCGATTTTCAGAAACAAACGACCAGACGTAGACTAAATCGATTAATCGGAACAGCACTACCTGACAGTATATATTTGGTTAACTATTGTCTGAAGAATTTGTTTTGCAATTGATGTAAGATTTAAATTAACCATTTTCAAAATGCAAAACGAACCAGATATCCAAATTACATGGGATTCATTGTTAAGAACATAAAGTAGTTCATGATATATTTTGACGCCAAAAAAAAAAAAAAAAACCATCAAAGAAATGATATCAGTTGCCACCCAAAAGTAAATTAACAGCCCTGAAGTAGGAATATAGGTCACATATTTCATTCTATTATTTTTAGCTTGTAATATACACAAAAGAGAAAAATTCCTAAAAAAACCAAATACAGCATTAGCTTGAAGTGTAAAACCTACCATCATCTGTTAGTGATGCATTGGAAGATGTAATAGGCTCAATCTTAGGTTCCACTTTAACCTCCTCAGGCTTAGCCCCAAGTGTCTTGAGTTGAGTACCTCCAACAAAAGTGATTTTAGGAGTAGACAAGACCTTCTTGGTGATGGCTGGCTGTGCTGTGATCACAGGAGCCGGTTTGCTGGTGGGCTTGGTGGCTGTTACTGTGGTGGAGATGGCAGGGGTACCAGTCTTTGCTGTCGTAGATGACCCAGCCGATGCTGGGGACACAATCACTGGATCTGTAGAAGGTATTGGCTTCCCAAGTCGTGTATGCAGTTTCAGGACCTGCAAATGAATTCAAATAAAACACATGCTAAATAAAATTCTTTTATAATAAGTTTAAAAAACCCCAAAAAACTAATGAATAGCATAGGATGTTTGAAGTTTAATTAAATGTATGCTAATAAATTGTATAATAAATCTGTTCTTTTCACTAATTTAAAGAAGATATAACTTGACCAAAGAATTGTAGCAAATAAAAGGGCAGACTATCATAGAATAGAATAATTTAAATAAATATAGAGTATCAAGGACATTTTACCTTCTGATGCTTGGAGCCCCTGATGTGGGCAGCATAGGCATCAGCTCCTGTGCATGTGACGTCACAGAGCTCACAGCGCAGCTGATTCTGTCCGCCTCGTCCAACAGGCTGTGAGTTGTTTCCAGTTTTCATGGCAGCTTCCTTCTTCTTGTGCTTTTGTCCCTCCAGATGTTCTCTGTATGTCTAAATAGCATAAAAAAACAAGAATGTATGATCAAATATAAATGACTAACGAGTAAAACCGACATGCTGACCAATTTTCCGGATTTTTTTTTTAAGATGGCGGCTGGCGCATTCACATTTTTTTTTATTACTTTCACGATAAAAAGTGCCATGAAATGTGCGCGGGCCCAGGAACCAAGTAATCAATTTTTTTGGCCTTACAACATATTGTAAATATTTGTACTGAACATGGCATTTACAGAAGTAAAGTGTGTGTAATAAATTCAGTGATTTTTTTGCTCAGTTTAACTGCAAAAATACAGACTGTTTCCCCTAGCTAAAATGTGTCCTATTTTCCCAAAATATCCAAAATCTGAGAAATATATTCCCAATTTCAATACAAATAGTGCTTTATTTTCTCAATTCATAAAGAAACATGCTGTTGTAAAATTGAGGTAACAAAAACACTGTGAATATGGCATAAAATAGAACAAACCTGTGGGCCAGCACAGCTGATCTTGCACACGTCACAGTAGTGGAGCTGTGGCTGTTTTGGGGGGACTTTTGGCTTTGGTTTGCCAACTTGTTGGCCCTGTTTCTTAAGCTGCCAGGTACCAGTTGGGGTTTTGGCAGCCTGCTGTTGTTGGTAATAAGATGTGGCTGCAGAGTACAGAGCAGCATCATACCCTGTAAAATTACAAAAATAAATAAAACATTATACAAAATGTTTGGTTAATAAATTAAAAAAAAAAAAAATCACCCAATGTTCAATTTTTCACTTTAAATATCAGAAAATGTAGTTTATGTGTGAATATACATTTACTTTTACACCCTTTTGTTCAATGTTCTTTTTTCTATTTTGTTTTGAAATGCATAATTGGCAGGGCAATACAAATCCCAGGTCTAATGGCTGCAGCCCAAGGGTCTGGTCTGTGGACAAGTGTAAATGTAGGTCTTCTTCCTCGATGGACCATTCAGGGCCAGTACAAAATTTCTATTGAATATCACTTCAGTCACAGTTTACTTTTTTACAACTTATATAATAACCAATAAATGGGTGAAATAGCTTTGGTTTTGTTAAAACCATAATGTACAAGTATATATTTTTAGGATCAGTTTGCTTAACCTCATGGCAATATATTTTTAAAACCCCCTTGCCCAAAATCAGCGGTTTAAAAAAATGTTGTTCTGGCATTGATCGGGACCAAAATTTGTAAATAGGCAAATTCGGCAAAGTCTCTCAGACAAAAAAACACCCAGTATTAATATGTTAATGGTAATCGGTTGTAAAAGTGAAACACTGTTGGGAGAGGGCAACATTTACTATTTAGTGCTGACAACATTGAGGTATTCATTATGTTCCATGTTAGATTGCCACAGCATTGCTCTGTGACTGTTGCAGTTTGATAGCACACCTAACGAAGCCTAGATTTATTTATGACAGCTACATACTATAGGTATATTAAAATTATACTCAGACCTGACAAGGTAATCAAATATTTTGGTATGAACTATTACTGAAATCTTTAATTCAGTGTTTTCAATACTTGAGTGACACAAGAATTTCTGTGAAGGGCAAATAACCATTGCATCCCAAAATCACAAGTCATCAGAGGTATTCTCATATAAACTTGCATTTGTTTAAAGTTTGATTCAGAAATGAAGTAACTTTGAACAGCAAATGGCCTTGACCTTGGAACCCAAAAGTTTCTTAAGTTGCTAGAGTGATGCAATGAATTATTTTACTTTCTATAAATAGTAACAGTGATCTTGACTTTGACCAATGAACCTCATCCAAGTTAAAATTTTGCGAGCTCTCCGTCATATTTTTCAGAGTATAATAAATATATTTAATGATTTGTTCTCCTCTGGCTAGTGTTACTTTGCTAGCCCTGTAAGATCTTGTTATGAATCATCAGGACATGCCAGGAGTTTGGAGCCAAGGATTAATTGGTTACATAATGAAACAAACAAAATACAATCAATTTTTTAAAGGTGTATGGGCAAAAGTGCCAATCAGAGTGGAATTGATAACAGACCATGCAGCACAATGTCATTTGTGAGTAAATTGATAAATATTTCAAATTCACATTTTTTTCTTATTAAAATGCAATAACAGATATAAAATAAATTGAACAAATAAAGAGTTAGAAGTGTTTTCCATTACTTTTTATGGATTCTTTTGTTTTAAATAACGCAGTGATGCATTATTTTGAACCATGTGAACATCTCTCTTGAAAGGCAGAAATTTGTACCCGGTTATATTTATTCAGCTATCCAGGGGAGAACACTGCTTTGTATAAAGTTTGATAAAAATCTGTTAAGTTAAGAAATAAAGCGGCTATTGCTATGACACTGAATTGGGACAGAATGTGAGGTGATGGACATAAAAATCTAATGACTTGCAGGTCATATTCAGACTTCACAACTGACTTTGAAATTGTATGATTCTTAATATACCTATAGCATATTAATAGCAGGTATGCTAATTAACTACACACATAAATGCTAGCAAAACTAAATGTTCAAACAATATTTCAGCAAGGGACGTGAATGACTCGCACATAAGCCACATGAAGATATTGTAAGCAAACAATCAATTTTACACAGGAAAGACCTGTATACTCCGATATAAAGAATTCTATTGATTATATGAACACAAACTTTTTTCTGTGTCCCTTTAAATTTTAAAGTGTAGCACTAAACCATTTACATACTGCTTTATCTAAAAGAATTGCATTAGAGCATCAGATATGTTATACACAAATACACCATACAGCATTCAACCTTTTTTAGCATCTGGGGGAATATATCAGAATGACTGCACAACCTTCAAAATTATTTTTATTTTAATCGTGTCAGTAAATTATTTTTGATGTTTTTACCAGAAAATTATTTTTGATGTTTTATAAGAGATTAGGTCAACAGTAAACACAATGACAGAATTAATTGATACATTACCTGATGTTTACTACTGATGTTTATAATTTGGTATTGATGAAAGTTGTCAAAATCATATCAAGCAATTGAAAGCAATGCAAAAGTGAAAAATTGACATGCAACCATTTCCAAATCAAATTTCACAACTATATCGTTTAAGGGGGAGAGATAATGCAGCTAGCTGTTCAAATAAGTTAAATATCCATGAAGTAAGTATGTCATATGAGACCAAATAATTGCATACATTTAGAATCGTTAGGAGTACAAAGAACCAGTTGGGCTATATAGTAGGATCCTGCTCATACCTTTAATAACAACTGGCTGTACGGTTTGTTTAATGGTGTTGTAGTTGGAACCAGTGGAGGCTGAAATATAACATAGCATTGAGTAGGATACATGATCTATCAGCCAGCCTCCTCATCAGAAACCAAGACCTAACCCTCTCATGTCAACATCTACTGAGCATTTTTTACTACTGAAGGACCGTTGATAGCTATTCTTCATAATATAACCAAAATAAGTTGGATCTTCCTGTACTACACATTTTTTGGTCTGAATGTCAAATATCTCATCACATTACAATAGAAAGCACTTCTTATTTACGAAGCATTAGTTGCTGGTCATTAAAGTACAGAAAATGGCATTAACCAGCAGGATATTGAGTCACAAGACAGTTTTGAATTCACATGTAAAGCATTGAATTATTTTTTCTAGTATCTCATCCATGTTTCGGGATTTTTGTTTTTAGGAAATAAAACATTTTTGTAATAAGAAAGAGTTTCATGCTCATAAAAGCTTAAACTCGGGAGTCACAGATAAATGCAAACACCAAACATTGAAATAGACATGATGACTTGACTTTCCCTTAATGCATGCTCAGTAAAGTCGGAGTGCTTTAACTTGTGATAATAAAACAGCATATATAACGTTAGCATAAGACCATAAAAAAGAAACAAGACATCAGAATTCTAACAAGGTAATAAGGGATGTGCAAAACTGACTGTGATCTCTCAGAGTTGATGTTGTAATCAAAACATCAAAACAGAATATTCATCTCTAACCCATTTTCTAATTGTCCAACTACATTTGTATCAAATTCTAGATTGACAGAAGTATTGTTAATGATATTTTAATTAATACAAGAAACATGCCATATTTTTAAGCATAAATATTTCAATATTTTTTCATTTTCACCTTATTTTTGGACATTTTTTCTCTAATAAAATGGGTTAAAACACTTATTCTGAGACAAGTATTCATCAAGCTAACACAGACTCAGAAAGACTAAGAAACTATTAATATGAAAAGAAAAAAATCCGAAAAATTCAAGTGGTATATTAATTTTTTGTTGATTAAATTTTGACTCTGTGTAGGGTTTGATGTAACACTCAAAATAAAGCAAATTCATCTACTCCTAAATGTAAACACTACAAAATGCATAAATACTGCTGAAAGCCCTAGGTGAGCTGCCATACATAAATTATTGAAAAATTATTAAAAAATTTGAAAAGAATCTTTTTAAACCTGTAAAAACTTGCATTTAAATTGCAATGTCATCCATTTTACAAATTGAAATGATTTCCTTTTAAATATTACTACAATTATTTCATGAATAACATATTAAACATTAATGTCTTTTGATTTTAGTTGGTGAATTCTGACGTTTACCCTTTGTTGTATATGCTGTTGTGTTGCTGGACGTAGTGTTAGTGGCATAATTGGTGGCGTAGGTCGTAACAGGTGTGGAATTAGAGGGATACACATAGGTTGGAGCACTTGATACTTGGACTTGCGTCTGGGCCTTTGGGGCAGCAGCACGCTGGGTGCTGTAGGCAGCGCCTGTTGTATACACCGGCTTTGCAGCAGCAGCTGAAACAGTGTATGCTAATACAAAAAGTTATCATAAAATATTCCAAAGGGTCATGAGGGACTGATTAAAACATAATCAAATTTTGATAACTTCAACTTAAATTATTGATATGTCTGAGGTGAAATTATAAGCAGCAAATAAAAACACATATTTTTAAGCAAACAATGACATCCATTATGAATATGATTTATCTGGAATGATATATAAAAAAACCTCGACAATTTGAAAATAAAATCGGATAAAAAATATGTTTGAGGAATTCCTCAACTTTTATCCCACAGGTGTCCTGACTATACCTGTGAACTTATGAATCACCTATAATATCATTTCATCACAAATTGTTTAGATATGTTTCAAATTTCCACTGTTTCCAGTGCATATACATTTAATGCTACCTGGTTGGTAATGTGTTTCAGCAGCTGTGTAAGAAGGTGCTGCTGGCTGGTAGTAAGCTTTCTGGTCATACGTTGCAGCAGGCTGTAGACAGGAAACATGTCAGTCTTGTCAATGATCATAACAATGTATAAATATATATATTAGCCAGGAGTCAAATTAACATATTAAGATTCTTTCAACATTGCAGGTGATATCTCCTTATATAAGATTCTGAATTCAGATTTGTATGAACCGACATATTTTAAATGCATAAATACAAGGAAGAAACGTTCGACCCATACAATTTTCATGAATCTTTTTTATTATTTTTACAAGCAGGACTGGTTTTTAGTTAATTAATAAAGAAGAGAAACACACCGTTACAGCAACTTGTGTCCTTGTTGTGTATGCGTACTGAGGAGTAGCATGTGCTGTTTGGTAGCTATCATATGCCTGTCCAGCCCTTGGGGCAGCAGTGGCATAGGCTGCTTGGGGTGCTGCAGCCACGTATGCCGTCTGGACAGTTGGGTACGCGGCAGCTGGCTGGGCATTGGCTGCCGGATACACAAAATGTGCCATTGTGGGCTGCTAACCTGTAAAAAATAATGAAATAGATATATCAATATTTAAGTTTATTCAATAAACCTTCTACCTATCACTTTGACACCCTAGACAAGCAGACTGTTACTGACTTTCATCTGTAGTCAGGTTCCTCAACTTATTTATCGTTTTTATTTTATGGTAATTGTTTCTCTGCACTTCGTACGCCTTTTTATATTTTCATCAAATGTAAAACGAAAATGGGAAATTCCTTGGATTAGTGATGCAAAACAAAGATAAGATATTCGCAGAAATGTTCTTGTTGAAAATAGCAACGGATCAGATGTCAACGCAAGTAGCATTGTAATTTTTATTTGCCCAAACAGCGAAATCTACTCTTCTGGACAAGCAGACATGTGCTTTACTCTGCCCCTTGATGTGCCATGCAACAAAGACAATATGGGAGTAAGTACATAAACTCTGGGTATGGGCCTTATGCATGATGCTGGTACAAGTGCTGGATGCATGTTGTATTAAAATTAAAGCTTTACGTAAAACAAAAAACCACACGCATCCAAATGGTTCCCTAGCTGGCTTGGTCACTGTCTTTAATTCTGCCATATTTGCTCCAAACATTTAAGACGTGGGTGTATTCCTTAGATAACATGGCAATCATATGACATAACACGGAATTCTATCAAAGTTCATAGATTTACAGTAATGTATCAAAATCCTTTCCAGTTAAATTATTATTAAAATCTGTCTTTTTATGTTTAACATAGGTTCAGAATTTCTTCATAAAACTATATTCACTCTCATTGGGTTTTGGAACAACTATGTCCTCTTTGTAACCCCAGTATGACTGTCTAATGAGTTTCTGGATGTGGTGTTTCAGTGTCTTAAACTTTGTTCTGGTGTTTTCCTGTCCAGCTTTTTTCATGTGTTTGTATAGACGGTCCCACTTTTTAAGGAGTTTTCTTAGATAGTTTGTGAGGAATGTGCATCTTAACTAAGCAAGTGATAGTATCCTTAAAAGTTTGCCACAAAAATTCAACTGAGATAGAACTTAGATCCATGTTTGAGAATGAGTTATATAATGATTGTAATTCAGCTTTCATGCTTTCCCAGTTAGGTTTTCTATACAGGGCTATGTTCCTGCGTGTCTGGATGATCTGACGGGGGATACTACAAAACTCCATAAAGACTATGTCATGATATGACAAACCTGGGATTACTTCCAGGCGTTGGACCTGATTTGGAAAGTTTGTCATGAGTAAGTCAAGCGTGTTGTTTTTCCGAGTTGGTTTCTGTACTAGTCGAGTCAGCCCAAGTTCATCCAACAAATTTTCAAAATCATATAATGTATCTTATGGTGAATAGTATTTGGTTTTAAAGATCTGGTCTCCCAGTCCCAACCAGGGAGTATAAAGTCACGTGTACTGCCAACTATAAGTGGCATTGTTGATTTGTGAGGCACGCCCAAGGGATGTTTCCAGCCACTGTTGACTCTCTTCCTTAGAAGTTTTGGGATTGTAATAGGAACAAATGTATAGGGTCTTATTACCAATGATTTCGACCTTGGCCCATATCATTTCGCAATTATCTGATGGTATTAGTTCCTTTTCTTCATCGCTGATGTAGTCTGTTTAATTGTGATTAGAACGCCTCCTTCTTTATCACCCTCTTTTTTCTTTCCATCATTTCTAAATATCTTATAATGTGGTGGGAAAATTTCTGAGTCTTTGATATTAGTATTGAGCAATGTATCATAGTAAAAGTATCTGTGTCAATGACTACGTCAGGTTTTGTGCTATCTAGGACATTTAGAAACAGATGTTGTTTGTTTTTAATTGATTGAAAGTTAACATTTTAGAATGCTTAGTTGGGCGCTCTGTTTTTTTTACCTGGACTTTTAGATTTCCTGATTCATTGAGGTGGAAGACCTTGTCATCTTATTTTAATTTACACTATATCAGTGTATATTTAATACATCAATTTTTACTCTTTTGCTATATTAGCATGTATGTACATTACACTTGTAGTGCTGTAACCCTCCTATTAAATAGCAACACCTGTGTGATATGCAGATGTTCACTATTATCTCATTACATCATTTTTAGTATAGTACTTTAAATTAAGTGCCTGTGCATAATATGCTATGTTATTGTATGTTTTACTCGCCGACTATGTGCTAGCTTTCTGTGTAGTGTATCGCTTGTTTGTTGTTTTCTGTTTGCTTTTTATTTTGTTTGTCGCAAAAATAGCGCACCAGCGCTAATGTTTCTCTGTTTCATATATGCGACGTTAAATTAAGTTTCTTGTATCTTGTAGAATGTAGAGAGTGATCGACCCGACTGCGGCGACTCTGATAACGACATTGATTTCTTTACTGTGTTAAATTATGTTTGGTAATAACCATCGTGAGTTTAACCATAAATATAGGCATGGGTCCATCTATTTTTACCAACGTAGATCATAATTAAGATATTAAGCACGTGTTTCACAAACGAAACGCCATCTTTGTTCGCGAACAACGAAACATGCAAGTTTGGAATCTATAACATTTTACCATCTTCAGTGTCACAAACAAACCTGTGATATGCACACTGATGTAATAAAATATAACGGTACTGCAAGCAACTCACCTATACCCTTCTTTCGTCTTTTGACGGTAAATTGGTCTTTATTTTTTTGTATATATCGTCGCCGCTTTGCGTCCGGTAAACACAAGGGCAAGGTCGTTCATTCGGCACAATGACGTCATTTGAGAGATACAGATACATAAATTAAAATTATACTACGATGGTATTTTGATAAAATACAGCGGACTTTAATTTGATTTCGTTTCTAAAAATAGGAAGTTATATGAGATCATGATAAATTCAATAAAATGTTTCAATGTTTATTTGTAAACACGGTGGGTTCGAGATACATTTTTTGCACACGGTCCGCAGGACTCGGCACTCGGGTCTTTCCGGCATATTTTCGATTTTCCTAATTTAGACTTGTACATGTTTCATGCTTGTCGGTTTGTTTGCCATGTAACATTGACACAACCCAGTCTTTTAATTGTGTATACATAAAACAACTCAACAAATATTCTCTCTAAAGACACGTAATTAGATTAAAAGCCCATGGTAAAGGTGACTCATAAATAAATTGGGTTAATAAATTATGAGCAAAAATGCATATTGAAACCCAATCGTGTGTTCCGTGGTTATAACGTTTAAGAGGAACCAAATCAGCTCCCTGCACGTGCAGATTCACATCTTTTTATCATGCATTGATGTATTTTGGCATTTTTTGTTATTATTTATTTGGGATACATGTGTAATATACATGAACAGTAAAGATCCAAAAGTTAAAAAAGTGATTTTCCCCTTTGGATTCAATGTTACTTTTACTTTCTTTTCCGGATTTTAATTTTCCTGACTTCGTTTTTCACTCAAAATATATACAAAAGTATAAGTTATATTTGTATGATTAATTGCGTTTCTATAAATGAAATATCAGCGATTTCTACACATAAAAGTTGTTGTTAAAGACATTTTTATTCGTATCCGGTACTAACTGTTAAATGTTGCCTTAGAAATGTGTCGGTCAGTTTTTGATAAATCATCATAGTAAACTCAGATAATCCAAGAAACGGAGGATGATATAAATATTACCTATGTCCGGGATAATAATTCAATTTTGTGCTATTTTTTTTCTGAAAACAGGATAAAATATGATGTCAGAAAAGTTCATTTGAATTTATAAACGGGTTTGTAAATTAACATGGAATCCAATGGGAAAATGATTTAACGGGAAAGGATTTTGATACATTACTGTAATCTAGGAACTTTGATAGAATTCCATGGTATGTCATGTGATTACCATGTTATCTAAGGAATACACCCACGTCATAAATGTTTGGAGCAAATATGGCAGAATTAAAGAAAGTAACCAGGCCAGCTAGGGAACCATTTGGATGTGTGTGTGTGTGTGTTTTTTTTTTTACATAATTCGTAAAGAGAATTCTAATGATCGAATTCGTTTCTGTTTTATCACTCTAGAACGAACTATTGCCATTATATGAGATTGATGAAACTTGTCAGAATTTTTTAGGGAGCCCCTGGCAAGCTGACGTTCTTCGACTCTTTTTAAAAAAAAAAATCATAAGAGATGCCAAAAAATCAATAAAAAAAAATCCTTAAGTTTTACAGGGTATTGTTTGGCTATTATTGTGTTTTATGAAGATACACTAGTAAATATATTCAAACTTTATATTTCCATTCGTCATGTAGACTCAATCTACGATAATTAACATTGTAGTGGATATGCTATATGGCTGATTATGATTTCCTCTTAAAATGCACAAGAGCCTATCTGACCTGTATCGCTCACCTATTTATTTTATATGGACAAAACAAAAAATCGAGGCCTTGATGACGATCTCAGATTTCGTATTGACTTAAATGGTTGAAATAAGAACACGTGGTTGTTGTTCAATACCAAGCTGGTTCTAAATGTTTCTTTTACAGAAATACAGAAAAGAAAGTGCTGTTATAATAAAAAATGTTCATATTTATAATTCCATTACCTATTGCGCAACCTCTATCGCAAAACTAAAACTGCATTTTTATGTATTTTAACTCTTAAGTTCTTCAATGTATCGTCAACTATTGGATATTACTGATAGGTATATTTGAAAAGTAATCATCACCAATGTCATTGCCACCATTTTGACCAAATATGGCCATATATATGACCATTTTGACCAAATATGGCCATATATATGACCATTTTGACCAAATATGGCCATATATATCACCATTTTGACCAAATATGGCTATATATATCAATATATATCACCATTTGTAGAGGATGCATCGACTATTGTTTTTTTCTTCTTCAAATTTTACTTCGTATTCCTCATAAGATGCTGAAAAGCTCATAAAATGATTTTAAAAGTAACAATATCATATCTCGGCAGGGCTTTTTTTGAGACAATGGAAAGTTTTTTGTAGATGAATTCTAGCTCGAGTGACCGTTTGTAAGATAGGCCTCATTTGAGATTGTTTTACCTAGTATAAGTCTAGTTAGCCTTGTGGAAGTCATATCTGGCAGATGGTACTTGTAACTTTAGTAGATTTTTTAAAAATAAATTCAAACTTAACACGCGAAAGTGTGATTGTACGATACTTACGCAATCATTATCAATTTGCTATTTTTCGAAATAGGGTTATCGCGCTTGTCCCATCTACAAGTATATTTGGAAGACCAATGACACTGTAAACGTGTTGGGTTTTTCATACGGCAGTACACCAAGTTCCTCGTTTCCAACGTGATAGCACATGGGCCTAGATTACATGCTAGTTTATTTGAACTGTAAGTAGATATTACCAAAACTATCTCACCTACCCATCGACATTCTCGGTAGCTGCAGGAGAAGAGAAGAATGGCATGGCCGGGTTCACGGTACCATGAGAGGAACGGTGTGATGAGGGTTTTTTTTATTAAGAAAAGTATTATAGACGGTAGTGATAAATTGATGGGATGGAATGCATAACTTACTGCCAGTAACAGGACTATAGAAAATCACCGTCGACTCAACACATAATAATTTAGAATGTTCCCCGTGATGAGTTGAAACGTCCCTTGGGAGGTGAAACCGGCAGATGACGTCTTTGGTTATCAATCTGGAGATTGCATTCAGGTACCATTAACAATCTTCCCATTGTCCTCTGTTTGTCAGATTATAATTTTGCAAAGCAAATTTATAAACCTTATTCAAGATGAAATGATACATATTGTATAATCTTAAAACCCCACTAAATGAATCCAGGTTAGGATCAGTGCATGCTTCACTTATGTTGTGATGCGTGCGATACATTTCTTGTATGGATTAGTTTTTATCTATATGACTTTATTCTGCGTTAATATAGCAGCAATGTAGTTAAGTTATTGGACACGAACACATTTTAAACGCTTCATTTCCGGAGTGCACTAGTTTTTCGAGCGTGAAAAATGACAAATGACGATTGTAAGCGTTCACTGTACTTTGTTGTAGAGTATACAATTGTTTCATGACTATTTGGGGAACAGTCAAAACTATCATCCCGAGGTAGGGGGAAGCCCTGGGGAACTGTTTGCCCGAGCCCGCTAGGCCAAGGGCAAACAGTTCCACAGGGCTTCCCCCTACCGAGGGATTATAGTTTTGACTGTTCCCAAAATAACCATGAAACAATTGTTTTATTACCAAATAAATATTAGTATCAATGCTGCATGCAATGTTGCCATTACTTCAACACTGAGTCGCGGTCACCGAAACGCTTGAACGGGGCTCTCGAGGGGGGATTTCTGCGCATCAAATTCGCGCCGGGTAACAGTTCACTCTGACCGGGAAAACAGTTTTGACTGTTTCACCCCTACGGGCGAAATTGGACAAAAGTCCAGAAACAGTCAAAAATGACTAATTATGATTTATGTAGACTATTGGGTAATAAAGGTGATTATTGGCGTAGAAGGGTATTTCAACAGCGATTCTAACATATCATTAACTTGGGAATACTTTAAGGCTTGATTGATAGATTCATATGTGTTTACTTCAATGATTCCAATGCATTTTCTTCGACGCTGTGGTGTAGTCTGTCGTTGTTTGTTGACGCTGTGGTGTAGTCTGTCGTTGTTTGTTGACGCTATAATGTAGAACTGTCGTTGTTTGTTGACACTGTGATGTAGTTTGTCGTTGTTTGTTGACGCTGTGATGTAGTCTGTCGTTGTTTGTTGACACTGTGATGTAGTCTGTCGTTTTTTGTTGACACTGTGATGTAGTTTGTCGTTGTTTGTTGACGATTTGATGTAGTTTGTCGTTGTTTGTAGACGCTGTGATGTAGTCTGTCGTTTTTTGTTGACACTGTGATATAGTTTGTCGTTGTTAGATGAAGCTGTGATATAGTTTGTTGTTGTTTGTTGACGCTGTGATGTAGTCTGTCGTTGTTTGTTGACACTGTGATGTAGTTTGTTGTTGCTTGTTGACGATGTGATGTAGTCTGTCGTTGTTTGTTGACGCTGTGATGTAGTCTGTCGTTGTTTGTTGACGCTATGATGTAGTCTGTCGTTGTTTGTTGACACTGATGTCGTCTGTCGTCGTTGTTTGTTGACGCTGTGATTTAGTTTGTCGTTGTTTTTTTGACACTGAGATGTAGTCTGTCGTTGTTTGTTGACTCTGTGACGTAGTCAGTCGTTGTTTGTTGACGCTACTTGTAGTGTGTCGTTGTTTGATGAAGATGTGATATAGTTTGTCGTTGTTTGATAACGTTATGATGTGGTCTGTTTTTTTGACACTGTGATGTAGTCTGTCGTTGTTTGTTGACACTGTGATGAAGTCTGTCCTTATTTGTTGACGCTATGATGTAGTTTGTCGTTTTTTGTTGACACTGTGATGTAGTCTGTCGTTGTTTGTTGACGATGTGATGTAGTTTGTCGTTGTTTGTAGACGCTGTGATATATTTTGCTGTTGTTTGTTGACGCTATGATGTAATTTTTCGTTGTTAGATGAAGCTGTGATATAGTTTGTCGTTGTTTGTTGACGCTGTGATGTAGTTGTCGTTGTTTGGTGACGCTACGTGTAGTGTGTCGTTGTTTGATAACGCTATGATGTAGTCTGTTTTTTTGACGATGTGATTTAGTTTGTCGTTGTTTGTTGACGCTGTGATATATTTTGCTGTTGTTTATTGAAGTTGAATAAAAACGTCAAATAAAAACG